GGGTTGGTCCTGACTTGAAAGTACACAACAAACACATACAGAAATGCAGTGCTAAAGAAAGAGCAAAACTATCAATTCCTTGTTTTTGGCTACCAGTGGTGGTTTCAAGTGTAAAAGAATGAATGAACTAAGGTGGTGGTTATCAGCTCTGAACCAAGTCCTACCACTTTAGAGTTACACCTTTTAACTTCAGGGTCTACCTGGAAAGAAAGAGAATGTGTGGGAGCAACCGGAAATACACCTCTGACCTGTGGTCACCAAAAAGGTAGTCTGGGATGCAGGATCAAGGAACTACTATTATAAGAGGGTTTGAGATAGAGGAAAAACATGTTTGTAGATCATTATTGGCAGCTTCCTGAGGAAGCATTGTTTAAATGGATTTAACAGCAACTTATCCTATGAAATCTATGTTCTATCCAATTGATGAATTTATTCCCAGAGTGGGGTTGGGGGTGGGGGGAAGAATGTTTCACAGATCTCTTCCTATCACCTATTCTTTCTGTCAGTATTCTCTTTCTAAATCTGGGCATCAGACTGGTATTTCATTCACAGTTCATATATTCTATTATTGTCTGAAATTTTCATGGTCTATACTCCTTCTAAATCTGCAAAATTAGACTGCTATTTCAATCCACAGTTCATCTGTTTCATCCTTTCCTAAATTCTTCATAATCTGTCTCCACCAATTAATTTCTTCTGTGGTCTCCAAACACTTTCAACGACAGCTCGAATTTGGCCCTTCTCACACTCTAACCTGTTGCCTTGTTTTTTTAGTGATTGATTGAACACTCAGTCTATGCCAGTTATCTTGCTGGAAAATGGAGGCAGAGATGAGAAACTTGACCTAGACCCTGTCCTTAAGGAACTCACTGTCTAAAGTCAGGGATGTGAACATGTATCACATCATTCTAGTAAGTGTGGTAATGAAAGTGAGTACATACTTAGCATAGAAATTATTAGAGTGATCTAAGGATTGGAGGATCAGGAAAAACTTGTGGTTAAGATGGTACAGCCCTAGCCCATTGTTTTCTTTTTATCAGCGTGAGCTCTTTCAGGACAGTGGTTACATCTCACTTATCATAGTACTGGCATCATCTCGCAGACCTCCAAACAAATAATGTTGTTGTATTAAAACCTGTTAATGAAATATTAATTTAAAAGACAGGAATCCGGTTCCAAAGTGTAGAATTATTTGAAAACTCAATTTCTTTATTTTCAAGATGCATTTTTCTTGGCTTTATCTTATTACTTCCTCTTTCTCTGAGTATGTGTTTTTACATGTTTAAAATGAATAAATAGACTTGGTTTTGTCCGTTTCTGTCTTGTTGACTGTGAAATGATATTTTTTCTGAAACATCAATTCTTGTGCTTCCTTCATGCTTTCCTTTCCAGGCCCTCTTAATTTATAAACCTAAAAGAAAATGAAAGTAGTGTTCTCTCATCACATGGCATAAGAAAATGATTAGAAATCAAATAAACAAAAAAAATTGTAGAGTTCATGGAAAAATACATTTTTCTTATTTATGGAAACATATTTTGCAAACATTAACATTAATTTTATATACGTTTACAAAGTTAAAATAAAAAGCATGAGTGTCTTTGGCATTAGGCCAGTTTGTATTTAACACATTACTACAGAACAAGTGATTCTGAATCCTATATGCTGTGTCTTCTAAATCATGAAACCAGATAGATTTCCATTAAATTGAATGCAAAGGGTGTAATATATCTTCTTCAAATAGACATGGTTTTGGTTGAAGGAAATTAACAGATTTCAAAATGTTACATTAAGATTGTATATTTTTAAAATGCTTGCCAATAACTTTTGAGATAGGTACTTTCAAAGTAGTAGCTGCACATCTTTGTAGATATCGAATGAGCCCAGATGGGTTATGAGAAGGGCGCATTCTAAAATTTCATTTCCATATTTCCTTTTTAAAGTATTCCATATAAAACAGAAATATTTAAGGGGCATAAAAACTCACCACAACACTAGGAATAGAAAACCCAATTTACAGATGTCTACAAATGAAGAAATCTGGTAGCTGATTATGTAGCAACCTCAGTAAGGTTCTCAACACTTTCTAAGCTTATATTCCTTGACACCATATGCTACAGGGAACAGTAAAGACATCTGAATTCAAATATTTTGAAGAAATGTGTATTTAGCAACTGAATACATGCTAAAAGAAATAATTTACAGCAGCAGTTTAATTACATTTTTCTCTCCAGTTTTCTAGTTCCCATCTGAAACGCAATGATAAGTACAGATATGGAACATGTTACTACCTGTCAAAAAACATGCTTAGTGAATGAGCAGACACCTTCCGCCTTTAAAGAGCAAATAAACCACCTCATCACCTGTGGCATAAAAGCTTGCACTTGAGGATGATGTTAAGCACATTGCAATGGATTTATCAAAAGTTGTATTTTACACTGTTCTCCTTCTCAAAAGTATTTACATCTCTTTTGCCTCATGTATAGGTAGCAAAAATTGAACAATTAAATACATACCATCGAGGGGGGGAATCACTAAATAATACATAAAAAGAAGCTTTGAGTGTGCATTTACATGCATTTACATTTTACATTTTATTTCATCTGTGCCAAGATTTGTGTGCCATGATGGACCTTTTGCCTATTTTGAGTTTATGGTTATATTTTGCTCAGGACCACATGAGTTTCTGAACATAATTTCATCTCTGCTGATACATGCAAATGCTGAAGACTATTAAAAGGAAATTAACTGGGACATTATTTTTCGTGCAGGCTGCCCCTCTCAACACTCATTGGCAGAAGGTTATGACTGTAATGAATTATTTACTTGCAAGTTATAGCTTTCATTTTCTTTGCAACCTTAGACTTGATGATTAATAAAGACATGCGAGTAGATTTTGTCTTTCAATAAAAAACTTAGTGGTTTTTTTTATATTGGCATTTCATATGCTAAACAAAATGCATTCAGGTTGGGAAGGCATCTCCATAGTATTCATCCTTTCTATATCCTTTAAAAGTCTTTATTTTTGAGGACTAATAAGATACTTCTGTTATTGCAAATAAATTTGTTTCAGTTGCAAGTTTAAAATGAAATGCAATACTGCATTTTAGTACATTTTAGATACTTTATAAAAATGTTCTATTTGGAAGTACTCATCATTCTTTGACTTACATTTCACATACTTTTTTTATTTCTGTATAGGAATGTGTCCTTCAAATAATTTAATAATTCAGCTTCCACTTGAGATGTACTTCTAAAAGCAACACTATTTTAGTCAATGGAGCCTAAAATTGCATGTAGAATATCTTTAGACTTTTTCATTTGAAAGAAGTATCAACAAATTGTTTATACAAATTAATCATTAAAATTGAAACATGAGCCTTCAACTGTGAAATATTTCAGCTGATTGGGAATTCAAGAAAATATCACTGTAGTCTGAGGTGAGAAACTAATGCTGAGTAAATTAGAATCCCAAAATAGCTAGGGTTAGAATGTCAATGTTGCTTCATTAATTAGCAATAAGATAGAAGTTTTATTTGCCTTTTTCCTGGGGTGTATGTGTGCATATGTATGTGTACATGATCGAGATCTATGGATAGGTGAGTGGTGTGTAAAACAAACAGTATCACAATGCTGAATATCTTATGTACCCTGTAGTCAGTGATTATCAATGAGTCATAACAGAATAAAAGTAGGCAAGTCCTTAATGAATAATCCACTAAGACAACTTATAGATTGTTGCAGAGGGTAAAGATTTTCATAATGTTTAAGTATGTCTGTGTCTTAGACACTAGTTTATATGGTTGTTTGGGGGAAAGACTATGTACTCTTTAGACAAACAACTGACTAAAGATGAGGTACATGAAAAATTGGGACATAATTGATTCTAAGAGTTGGAAATTGTGTGTTTATGGTGTTTGCTTCAATATTAAAGATGCGCTGTTTTAAAAATATTGATATAGATGTAATTCTCAATGGAATCAAGAGAGATAGGGTCTTAGTGTCTTAAATGTCATGCAGAGACTCAAGCAAAGAATAAAGGGACACATTCAATTAACACTATATTAAGACAATGCTTTTTAGTTTCATGAAATACAAAGTTTGTTTTCTCCTAATCCATTCACTAGAGGCAATAAAATGCATTTAACAAATCAACATGTTTCTTCTTTTTTTCCTGGTTAAAGTCTCCTTGTTATTTTTATAAGAAGAGTATAAAGATTAAAATTAATTAAGATAATACTTTAAGAAAGGAAGTCATGCATAACTTCCATTTGCTTAATTTCATCAGAAAAATAAAGAATAATTTATACTTAGGTTTAGGAAATAATTATTAAAGATGTGCCTGTGTTTCAAAAACAACTCTTTCTTATGGAACTGAAAGCATTTTTTTTTAAGCAGCACACAGTTGTAATTTTTTAAAAAACAAAAACTATATACTACAATATTTGTAAGACAAAAACCTACTCTAGTTTAGAAAAGAACTAACTTTTACTGCATATTTGTCATGGTACATTTAAATTATAGCTTTAATAAAATACATCTTTAGATCAAAGCTGAAAGAAGACATCAGTAGTAGATCAGTGTATTCCATTGTTCTTCCGGATGATGGATGGTTTATGATGGAGGGTTTATTTATTTCCACAGACCATTTAATTCAGTATCATTTGACTCCTCCAGTACATATAAACAAGTGTGCTGGTAGACAAAAAAAAAAGGAAAACAAAACAAAAAACAACTAAAACAACAATATCCTTGACTCCAACCTCCTTTTGGAATATACATCAGCTTAGTAAATCCATGCAATTTACTTTAAATTTTGAGTTTAAAAAAATGGCTTTGCTGACGTAATTTTTCTTCTTTAGATGGCAAAATAGCAAATTATAGATTTAATTCTCAGGCAAAGAAGAAAGTGAAACTTGTACAATGAAATCTTGTAGGAAACATTAAGTCTGCTACAGTGAATATCTGCATTCACCAGTGATCTCTGTTAGGTGTTGCTAGGAAGAAAGCCTGATAAGAAAGTTACTCATGGACTTAATTCATAGTTGGTGGAACTCAGTTGATTTTCCCACCATTGTAAACATCCACATAATGCCATGAAAAATGTTCATGTATATTGCATTTTTTTCCAGTTATTGTCTAAGCAAGTTTCTACTTGTTTGAGGTTTCTAATGGTAATGCAGCTCAGACACTCCTGGGTGCCCTCTCAAATTCATGGGTCCTCCTGTTTCTACCCTTTTTGTTTTCCTGTAAGTGCTTCCACTTATTACTATTCCCTTGGCTATGCCCAGGCCTTTGGCGACGTTGTTTTCGGTCCCTTTTCCAAACTTGTTCACAGAACTCATCCATTGTGTTCAGGTTGGGATGGTTAAGGAGTTGCATGATGTCTCTGTACCAGACCTTATGGCTAGGTGTCATGCTGTTGGACATCTCTTTGGTCTTAGAATGATCACCCTCGTCGTCTTTGTGAAGAAGTTCTTCCAGACGCACTTTGTCAATGACTTCCAACGTCACTTTAAGAAGAATTTGCACAAATCCATGTTCTACTGCATGGCAGAAGTAATTGCCTGAATCTTTCCGCTGTAGGCTGCGCAGCAGAAGGCCTTGTTCTATCTTGATGATATGGTCATCTTCGTTTATCTGTGAGGGGAAAAAAAGACTATAAAGAATATATACAAAAATATCTCTCTCTCTCTCTCCCCCCC